CTGTCTCCAAATCCATTCTCCACGATACAGCCACAGTGATCTTTCTCCCAACTCACATGACTTCAATGGCGCCCTGCAAGGCTCAAGATAAAGTCCAATCTCTTTAACATGGGCTACAATGTCCTTGGCCATCTCAGCCCTGCTTCTCTCCAGTCTAAATGAAGCTTTTCCGGGAGCATATGATTGGGTTAAAAAACAATTTGGTCAGAAACAAAATCACAGCAGAAACAAACTGGTTAACATTTTTTCATGTGGCTTCTGTCTTGGGTCTTAGTGATTCTGACGCCCTTAGACAGTTCTTAATGCATCTTTAAGCCTTTTGGACCATTTGTTGGAATTTTTCGAGTTTTTTATTTTTTATCTCGATTTTATTCTTAGCCAATTTTGCTTGTTTGGTATATATTCACTAAAGCTTAGGATTTGTGTTAAAGTATGGGAGAGTGAAATGTGTGGAAACTGAGAGCTCAAAGCCATTAGTTTGTGCTGCCTCCAGCCGGGAAGACCAGGGTGTATTCCAGGAACTGTGGGGCCTAATCAGGGTCAAGTGTCCAGCAGTTTTGGACAGGCATTCAGATGGCAGGAATAAACACAATATACAGCATATGGATACAATGCATAATGTCCTTGCTTAGTACTATCAATGGCTTCAGAATCTCCCATCATATCATAACCTTCTGCAGACAGCATTTCACTCGTCATCTCTACTTCCATAAGCTAGGTTTTTTGTTTCGTTTTCTATTTTTTTTTTTTTTTTGAGACAGAGCATCATTCTGTTGCCCAGGCTGGAATGCAGCAGTGCAATCTTGGCTCACTTCATGCAGCCTCTGCTTCCCAGGTTCAGGTGATTCTCCTGCCTCAGCCTCCTGAGTAGCTGGGATTACAGGCACACTTTGCCACACCAGGCTAATTTTTGTAGTTTTAGTAGAAATGGGGTTTCACCATGTTGGCCAGGCTGGTCTCTAACTCCTAGCCTCAGGTGATCCACCTGCCTTGGCCTCCCAAAGTGCTGGGATTACAGGTGTGAGCCACCATGCCCAGACAAACCACTTTTTTTCTGCAAGAACAAAGCCCAAACTTCAGCTTGTTCATCCACAAAGAGTAGGGCACACTCCATGCCACAGCTTTGATTATGTCAGCAAAGTTGAATCACACAGTGATGAGCAAATATAGCTTCACAGAAAAGAAATATAGAAGATAGTTCAATAGGCAACGTAAGCATTGGAGGCTGAAATTGGAATTTTAAAAAAATAACAAAATATTGGAAATTGACTAAACTGCTTGAGAATGCCTTTTAAACTAATGTCATTTAATGAAGACTGCATAATTGTCAGTGGCATTTGTACGCTGGGCCTTCATCTCAAAAATGTACCATGCCGTAATTTCTGTCCCACATTGCTCCTATCTTAAATCTGGAAGTTAAGCTTTAATTGTTTTGCATATGTCTTTTTCTACAGTTAGGTTAGAAATTGCTTCAGGTCAGAGTTCACCTTAATATCTGCATCACCCATAGATAGCATGAGGTTATACAAGTAACAAGTGCTCCTCAAATGTTGGCTAAAGACAAGCAAATGTCTGTTGGGGTGAATTCCATTAAAGGCTCCTTGTACAAGTCAACATTGGAGAGACTTTCAATGTGTTGGAAACTTTTGTGGTGACTACTAAATAAATTGTTCAGAAGTTGAGTCTTTTCCTTACATTATTTATGATGTTAAATTAAGAGTAACCTAAAGATGCCTTCTTACATATTTTAAGTTTGGACTAGAGTTTTCTCTATCCATAGGGAACTATAACCTAACTAGATATGTAAACAGATTATAACCTCCTCTTGAACCAAATCACAAAGTTTTGGCCAATCACAAGCAGTCAACCTTTCAAACCGTGTTCAAATAAGGCAAACACAGAGCTGTAACCAATCCAGCTGTCTCTGCACCTCACTTCCGTTTCCTGTCTGTCACTTTCATTCCTATGTCCATTAAATATTATGCAACCATGTGGCAGTCCGGCAGTCACCCTGAGCCTATTCTGGTTCTGGGACTGTCAGATTCTTGAATCGTTCTTTGCTCACTTAAACTCTGTTAAACTTAATTTGTCTACGTTTTCCTTTTAACCCTGGTTAAATCCAGCTTTTCATGTACAGTTTCTCACTCAGCTCTTCAAATACTTTCTAGGCAGCACCACAGTGAAAATGCCTTTGCAAGTTTAAGACTGAGACAATGAAAGAGATCTTACTTAACAGACTCCATCTTGCTTCTAACCTCTAAGCTGTCCTTGTTCATTCCTGGGCATAGGCTGAGCTAACTTTGGGAGAAACTTAGTTTATAGGTTAAAAGAAAGACGATAATAGACCTTTCCCAGAGCAAACCTCCTTGTTGCCTGGGGACTAGATTGCCTTTGTAGGACTAATGTTAGCCACAAGATTAGAAATTATGGTTTGGGAGTCATGCAGCTGGAGGCTGCAGGATTCTGACCCTCCCTAAACTGCTCTTGGGATCAGTGCTTGAGACATTTTGCAGACCCTGAACTTGATGGATCAGCTGCCATCACTCAGGCCGTAAACTGCCTCATCTGATCTTGTGCCCCGACCCCCCCCCCCCAGGAACTGACTCAGTGCTAGGAGACAGCTTTGACTCCCTACAATTTCAACCCTGACCTGACCAATCAGCACTCCTGGCTCATCGGCTTCCCCCTGAATCTACCAAGTTGTCCTTAGAAACTCTGATCCCCGAATGCTCAGGGAGACTGATTTGAGTAGAAATAAAATTCTGGTCTCCCGCACAGCCGGCTCTGCATGAATTACTCTTTGTCTATTGCAATTCCCCTGTCTTGATGAAATGTACATTCATGATGACCTTTGTAATGGGGAGTAAGGACTGGTAAGGGCCATGAGGAAGGACACTGGAACTCCCTTAATGCTCTGTTATCTTCATGTGGGTGGTAATTACATGGGTTGGTTCACTTTGTAAAAATTCAGAGTGTACCATTATGCTATCTGCAGTAACTCATTAGTTACCATGGCAAACTGCAGATGCCCACTGAAGGACTGAAAGATATGCCATCCCCCAAAATGCTGGATTGGTGCATTGATTACTTCTAATTGAAAACATTGGAGAAACTGCATTTCCAGAAAGGGTGAGTGGACCTTCCCTTCCTGCCCGCAGCAAGCCATCAAGATTCCTCTGTGAGGGAGAAAATAGCCCTCATCACCAGAGACTGGGAACTGGGGCCTGCAAAGGAGCTGAATAAATATACTCAATAAAGTAATCTTTATCTTCCACTAGTTTTATATCCCCTCCCCATATCTTCTGGTGAGTCCTCTAGTGAAACGAAAATAAACACACAGGACCCCAATTCATGCTGCCAAAAGGAAAAAGTAAGCTGAAAGCTGAGTCATGCAAGAAGCTGCTG